AACAAGCAAAGGTTTGTGGGGGCTACTTTTCTAGGTTTTATATAAAAAATATTTAAAAAAAAGTGAAGTTTAAAAAAAAAAAAAAAAAAAAAAGAACAAAACAGTGGATCTTCAATGTCTTCTGTTAATAAGGAATCAGAAGCTGTTATGGTGCTCAATGACTCTTTGCTCTTGGATGTGGCTCAAACAAGTTTGGAGTCAAACCTGAATCGGTTATCTTTGAAAACGTTAAGATTTGTTTGTCATAGAATGGGCCTGCAAGAGATGGGCCAAAAACAAGAAATTGTGAACAGGTTATTAAAGGATGGGTGAAATCGTATGGGTTCGGAAGAATCTTTAGAGGAAGGAAGTATAACCAAAAAAGGAAAAGAAGGGTGATTGCAGTTTACAGAAAATTATGATGATACCTTGTTGAAGGATTTAAAAGGGTTACAGTAGACAGTAGACAGGTGATAAAGCACAACATTCAGTTCTCAGTGAAGGCTTGCTCGGTGCTTATGGCAAACAAAGTATAGTTGGTCAAAACTTTCAATTAAGTTGTGCATAGGTCAGAAAGGCTTTTGGCTATAGAGCGGAATCAGGACTTCTGTTTTTGGAGGATGTTGAACAAAGGAATGTTTGGGTAAAGCGTGAGTTTTTTAAACCGCATAACTAATGAGAATACAATGAATGGTGTAAGGTGATGTCATTAATGAATAAGGCTTTGGCTTTTTGTGATATAAACTATGTGTATTTAGCAAAGCAGGTTATTTTGAAAAGAGCTTATGTTATTAGAGTTGCTGATGAAGATAGTTGGGAGGTTGTTTCAAAAATAGCAATCATGGATGGGTCTGATCTAATGACTAAGTTGTTAGAGAGTAAATGGAAAAGTGCTAGGTTGGCTGTGTAATGTTTTTTATGATCAAAGAAGCCAAAAACTTTTCATTATATTTATATTAAGCAGTCTCAGTTTTTAATGTCACTTTTTTCAATGGGCAATATCCCTATAGCACAAGTTTTACAAGTGCAGCCTTATAGCCAACTAGTAGATTTCCAACTACAATTTATGGGCCAGCACCTAGAATTGCCAAGCCAGTTTGGAGGTTTTGTACCAGTTCTTTTGCAAACCCTTTAATCAGGTTTACAACTTATGCAAGCTGGAAGATAGCAAATGATGCCGAGTATTGTTTCATCATCATCAACGCAGTAGCAGTCATTTTACTTGGCTTCTCAATAGTCTAAGAGGTTTGACAAGGGAAAAGGCTTCAAGAGTAGTGAGGTAATTTGTTTTGTTTGTGAAGAAAAGAGGCACTATGCGAATGAGTATAGTTCTAAAAGACATATTGGCCTGCTCTTTCAAGGAGGAAACACTCAACCCAAAAGTAGTTGACAACACTTGGGAGTGATTGGAAAGAAATGGAGTAGGGGCAAAGTGTTGTATGATGGAAAGAATTCATGAGTGAGAGATGGTGGAATATTAGAAAAGGGTAATATAGCCATCTTGTCTAGTAGTGAAATGGTTAGAAAAAAAGATTCTTTTGTTTTTGAGAAATCTTATATAGCTGGTAAATCAACTGGCTCCAAAGCCTTATCATTTTACAAAAAAAGAAGAACTATAGCCTTTGTCCCTGGGCAAAAGTAGAAACTGTTGAACCTTCTGGTCCTTGTATTTAAGTAACTTGCGAACCTG